CGAAGTGGTCTCAGTTTTCTGCACGGCTGCTCATGCAACAAATGCGTTAATCGAGGCTGCGTGCGTGTGCAGTTGCCTCAGGTTTTATTGCGGGCAAAGTGCCATGTTGTTGCTCGAAGTTTGCTGACGAGGAAGGTACGTTTCTTTATTAACCCAGGAAAATCGAATAAAAAGTGACATATGCTGCCTCCAGCAATGCTTTCTACTCATAAGCATTTCTCAATCTGCGAAAAATGTAGCGAGCGCCTTTCGGATAAGGTATCGTATAATTTTACCAGGAATTAGGCTGGAACCGTCCTAATTCGCTCACACGTTTTCGAGGCCGCGAGGCGTGCGGCCTAAATTCTCGCGCCCCACGAATGGAAAAATTAGGATTGATAGGATATGCTATGATCGCTGATTGTACGTACCTACATGAGATATAACTATTATTTCTTCAGTTATTAAACAAATAGCTTGTTATCAATCGAGGAAACTTGTTTATGTGCCTATTCCACTTTTATTTCAATCTTAGACTTACCCCACCCCCCTAATATAATATATATATATATATATATATTTTTTTTTTAGTGTACATGAGAAGTCAAACTTAAACCGCAGGACTTTCGCATCAGTTTCCGAGAGTCGCGTGGATAGTTTGATCCACCGCTTCTACGCGATCAGCTTCAATTTAAATCAACGCGTTTTTTGGTGCTTCAGGGTTCTTAAAAATCACGGTTTTATTAATTGCAATATTTTTCGCGTTAAAGAGGTTTTCTTTTTTTACTTATCATAAAAATATGTTTCGATTCATTAAATTAATTTTAGTGTTGGAGAATTTCTAGTTTTTTTGTCGTGATCCCGAGGGACGGAGGGACGGAACAAGAGAGGGCGAGGGAAGCCCTTAGCAGTAATTTGTTCTCGACCGTCTGTTTTGTTGCGGAAATAAAGGTAGATTTTTTTTTGTTGCAAATGTCTTGTTAATTGCTGCGCCCTTGCGGGTTGTGCTTTCGTAATAATCTAGCCATGCGAAACTTGTCAGTGTACCGTAAGAAATGTTTTAAATGCGTTTTTATTGGTGCATGCCATGCGATGATATATCTCATATTGAAACTTGCCAAGGGAATATGCTCGCAGAATGATTAGCGAGCAGCTGAAGCCAGGGCCAAAATTCTTGACGACAGAATTATTAACATCGAGCAAAATATTATAGCTTGAAAGAGTTTCACCTCAGCCGCAATCTCTTATAAACCCGCTAAACATTCTTCCATCAGAAATTCTCAAATAGAAAGCTTGGTGTGATGATTCTGAAAAGCACCCTCGTCGGTCGAATTTAGTTTTATTTGGATTATCGGATCCTCAGTCAGTAACGTGGGCGAATGTTTGCTCGTAAAATTTAGCCATTCAACTGGACCCCTCGAATCTCGAAAGATATCATCGGTTAGGTCGTTTCACTGAAAACAATATACGCCCAATAATTGCAGAGTTGCTATGCTTTAAAGATAAAGGAAGAGTCAATCTTGGCGGCCGGTCACAAGCTAAAAAACACTATACTTTTTCTGCTCGAGAGGACAATTCTCAGTTCCCCTAGCGCGCGGCAAGGTATCTAAGTTTGCAGAGCAACAAAACTCGCCCTTCAAGATTTGCTTTGATAAACTGCGTATTCCCCCAGCAAGCATTACGTTTACTCCCCGATTAATGACTGTGAAATATCTTGGAGCGTGACTGAAACGGAATGGGAAGACCCACATCCAGCCACCGAACTGCCCTCGTATCAGAACTAAGAAATTGCAGTCGCATCATGTCACTTTTACGAACCTTCGTAGTCGCATGGCCAAACAAACAAAAAAAAAAAAAAAAGAGATATGCAGCCTTCTCAGAGACAGCAACAGTGATATGGTTATACTTACAGAAACTTGACTAATACCGAACGTTAGTGCTGATGAACTTTTTATCTCAGCTTTACCGCTCTACCGGCACTTCTTGTCGCTATGTCACTGAATGCAGAACATTTATAGGTGTAACAGAATCGTCAGACACCTCCTAGGTAACAAAGCCGTACTGCTGAATGAGATGAGGTCATCAGAGAAGGCCAACGAGCGACACGGGTTGGAAACGAGTGCTGCGTCAGCGCTCGGCTTCGAGTCAAATTTTAGCCCAACGTTGACGCATAAGTCGTTTCCAATCTGTGTCCAGCGTTGGCCTTGTCTGATGACACCATCTCATTCAGCCCTACGGCTTTGTTATGTAGGAGAGGTGTTGGGCCGCGGCGCGGTTGAATGCGGGCGAGCTCAGTTAACGCTCTGCCGTCACCGGTTGTTCTCTCTGGGTTTCCATAGTTAGCGATGTGTAGGCTGTGATTCGTGTGTAGTTAAAACGATGGATGCGGTTCAGTCCATGAGGGTATGGATGCAGTTCCGTCAACAATTGGTATAGATGTGGTTCTTTCCACGAGGGGTGTGGATGACTGCTTCCATGGTCGTCGACGTACTCTAACAGGCAAAGAAAAAAAAAAAAAAGGAAGTTTCTGTCTAAGGTCCGACTGAAGTAGTAGAAGCTACCCTTTTGGGATGGGGAAAGTCGAAGAGGTGGAGAACACCACGATTCGTGAGAAGAAAAAGGAAGTTTAAGTCTAAGCTTTGACTGAAGAAGAAGAAGCTGCCCTTTTAAGGATTGGGTTGAGGAAAAGGAAGTTTATAAAAAAAGGGTTGATAGTCCAGCAGTGTGTTTCTTTCTCTCTTCGTCGCTTTTCCTAACGTTCAGCTGGTAATCAGTAAGTATATATTGCTCCAAACCTAATAAAAGTCTAAATTTTTTTATTTTTTTCTAAATTTCTGTTTTGTTTGCTCATGACGTTAGCATTTACAAGGTAGAAATATTGAGTGACAATTTTTGTTTTTGTGTTTTTCATACAACTATTTAAATATGCATCCTTTATGCTCGAAACTTGTAAGTCGAGTTATTTGGGGTCAAGTTTCTCCGAACATTGAATATTTATTTGAATCTCACACTTTTTTGTTGATTGCTCATAAGGTACAAATAATTGGATATAATTATTTGTGGACCCTGTTTTGTTGTGTTCTCGGTACAACCAGTTAAATAAGCCACCGTTTCACAGTGACTTGCAATCCTCGGCTCGGAAATGTTGGCTTCACCGCAACGTTCTTGGTCGACTCGAGAATAACAGATGTTGCAAAAATGGTCTTTGTCATTATGTTTTTTACGAGTAAACAAGAAAGCGTGAGCAAGAAAAATGTTATTTCTGCGAATAATAACTCAAAACTTCAATATATTTCATTCATCATGACAAACAAGTGCCAAATGCCACAAACCACGAGGTTTCTTAATGTTAATAGATATACACACTTGACCTTAACTGTAATTATGCGAAGCCTTATTCGTGTAAACGAAAACACCACACTTCGACGTACACTAAGAAATGTGAGCATTGAATTGTGAAGTACACTTTTCAAACAGGTCCTGCATTCCAAAGCGCAGGCCAACATAAAAACCATCGTATATATCATAAACAATGGACATTTATACATTTTCAAGGCTATTCGAACCACGGTGCCAAAACAAACAATTAGCGCTGTCAATGTTCTTTCGACATGCTTCTTTTTTTTCTTAATTGAATTCTTTCAAATATGTGATAGATCAATGGGTGCGTTCTTAATTGAATTCTTTCAAACATGTGATCGATTAATTGGCGCGATCAACGCCACTGCCATTAATAAATTACAACCTGACAGTTCGTTAAAAATTAAATGGACACGTGCTGAATGGCGTTGAAAGAACCATTTGTTTTTCTTTTCTCAAGTTTCTGAAGCTATCATATGCGTACGGTTGTGCACTCGAGTTCACAGAAAAAGTTTGGTACGCTATCGAACGTTTGGCGCAAACGCCAAACGTTCCATAGCGACATGCGTTCTAACCTGATGCATCGATGATTCATCAGACGACATGGCTGAACCTGAGTTACTTATTTTAGCACTTGGTGATGTTTGAGGGTTATTCCTGAAATTGTGAGATAGATATACCAGGGAAAACCTCACGGCAAAGTGGTTTTTTCAAAAACGTCTGCTACTCTTCAGCCCACTAGTAACGTTGCGGTGAAGTCCGCATGCTTGACCACAAATCCAAAGGCAGGATTAACAGCGGCATTGCCCCGATGATACATATAAAAGACGATACTCATATATTGTGTTTTTAATGTAAACATTACGGGCAAGAATGAAAAAGAAAAATATAAAAGAATAAACATGTATTGTATTTTTTAGAAGATTTACGTAAAACTAATGCAAATGATGCGTTTTTAACAAATTTGGTACATTATATAATTTATTCAGTAAATAGTCCTGACATGAACACCACTAGATGGCCTATGTTCATAGCCGTACCGACAGTTGTTTCATGGCATAGTTTTAAATTTTTTGTATGATACAGTCAGCTATTCGTTTATGAAGCAAAATAATCCTGGATTATATGTTTACAGTTTAGTACAAAATAAACTATAAAAAAATCAATTGTTTTCTTAAAAATTGCTGATAATAGTTCCTGATACGTAAGACAATATTCGCAGGTTCAGTGAAGTTCAGAAGTTCTAAATACTGGAGAAAGTTAAAAAAGAAAAAAATAAACTTATTAAGTTTTTTTGTGTGCATCCCATCACGTAGCACTACAGGTTTGTTTTCCACCATTCCGCTTGCAACTAATTTTTTTTCAAAAGATTATTGTCTTTCATAAAAAAAAAATCAGTTATCAGAAACATTTTTCTAAACAAATGTAAAAAAATCCTCTCCTCTGCGCTCCTTGCAAGTCCGATTAAATTCAAACGAAATCAGCCCGATATTGTTGTAATGTTGTATACATCTATCTTACTAATTTCATATATAACAGTACGCGGGAATAAAGATAATTAATCATATGCATTGAGCGAAATAACTTGTTTGGTGACCAAAAAAGTATTACGCACCTACAAAAATAGCTAAAAAAGTCTGAAATTCGTGCTTTTCGCGGCGATCAATTACAGCCTCCGTTGCCCAGAAACCTGTTCGGAAAAAACGGCAGCTCGGCGGTATCTTCAGCACTGTCCTGGATGGCGTGAAAAACCTGATAAGTAAGTGCTGTTTTAGGATGCCCAAAAGTAAGGATCGAAAAAAGTAACATTGTATTAAAATGCCGCACGTTTCCGTCAGGTTGCCTTTTATGCTCATATTGATTATACTGCCAAATACGCCAGTGACATTCAATGCACACTAGCACATATATGCAATGCCCCCCCTATAATTGCAGACCGACAAGCCCCCCATACACATATACGCGAACGACTAGTTGTATAAGTGTGTTATCCCGTTTCCACTAAAAAGTTTAGGTCCCTCAAAAAAAAAAAAAAAAAAACGTTTAAAAATTTTTGTGGTTTTGCGAACATTTTAAGGGGAATTTAAAGAAATATAGTTTAATGATAAATTCCTCTTCATTTCTAGCCGAATGCGAAATATTCGTCGACTTGCTACGTGCTCAACAATTTGACGCCGCTCCATTTACGAAGACTAGACGGAAGAAACGTGCAAAACTGGCGTTGAAGCCTTCGGATTTATTTTTGGAGAATGCGGGCCTATTTATTGTACTCACGGAATAATCAGGTTTATATATTGTAAATGAGACTCAAACTCCTATTCTGCGCGAAGCCAAACCATGCAGAGCACAGCACTGGCAGTCGCGTGGACGACGTCGGGTTTGTGTCTCCTCGCTCTCACTTGCGATCGCCGCACGTATACCTTCATTCGTCTTTCAAACAGCGCACGGCGCTTGCTTCACAACTCAGCATACGCCACACCCACTAAGGCTCCGTCACCGAGCTTATAGAGGTGTGCTCCTTTATCTGTGATGTTTATGGAGAACATCACGTCCTTTCGACAAGATATCTCATGTGGGTCGCATCATGTTAAATTTCACTACGTCAGATTGTGGTTTCATGCCTAATTTTGAGCAAATTTGGTATCAATAATCGCTTTAGATTATACTGCACAGTCTTAGATTCTGCGCGGGGCAGTGTGCAATCGCCGAATAATATTAAAGTATATTTTCCAACTGGTGCAGCAAGTTCATTAGAGTGTGATAAAAGGCGTATTACAATAAGAATAAAAAAAACTGTAGTTTTGTCAGAATTAATGCGGCATCGTTTAGCGTGCTAAAGGTTACTATATCTTTCGAATTTCAGATACAGGCACGGGTGTGGCTGGCCTCGGCACAGGAATGCTCAACCTCGGTGGTGACGAAGGTATTGGTGGCGTTGTCAGTGGAACATTGAACCTGGTTTCTATTGGCGCAGGTACGTATGTCCGATAAAATCCTGAGTTTAAATCGGCTTGAGCCCTGAGGCTGGATAATGTATATTCTCACAATAGTCAAGTCTCATATTTCCTGGACGCCATGTTTGAGGCCGTCGTTCGCAGGGCATGTTCTGAACTAGCTCCCATTTGTCGTCTGGCAAGAAAACCTAGTTTCATCGGTTGGAAAGCACGTTTACGAACGTTCACAGTGCATATGGTGCAATCAGGATTGTTGTTCTTGGCAGATGATAAATGGGAGCTATAGTTTTGAGCATGCGCTGCAAAGGACGACTTGAAATATATGGGGTATCCAGTGGATAGACGTATGCAGTGTATAGGAGTATCCAGTGGATACCCCCAATATTCACACACTTTATCACTTGCCCCACTCTACCACAAAGCAATCTATATGTAAATAATTTTGAAGAAAGGTGGGCCGATAAACTTAAAGCATTGCGAAAACCGGATATCAAGGTCAGTCCGCGGTTTTGAGTTTTACAATGTTAACAACCTAAGTTATAACTTCAATCACGGTGATCTACGAAGAGCGCGCTCGGCTAATGACGCCGAGATCCCTTCGTGGCGACATTAGATTTCGGCTAAGGGGTGGTTTGCGATATGACACTGCGTCTGGTATGTGAAATGACTATCTTGGGTCAAATTGCAGATTTTGTTTCTTCCTGCGACAACGTTTTCCACATATGATCCCAAACCAGAGACGAACGGAGGACAAGGGGAAAAACACACATCTTAAAATTGAGACTTGTGTGTTTGTCTCTTGTCGTCCGTTCGTTCCTGGTTTAGAATCACGCATAATGTTAACTGATCGTGGTGTTCGGCTTTTCACATTTCATGCTCTAGAGCAGAGTAGACGCGGGAGATTTTGAAATACTGGCGCTGGTCCCTTTTTAAAAAGACAGTGTGAAAAAGCAGATGCTGATGAAGATTGATTATTCATTACTCTAAAAATGGGGACAACCTTACAATTGTGCCACTATAGTTTTCAGCCAGCGCTGCAGCTTTAGTTCTTACCTTTCGCGAGATGTCACGGCACTCAAGAGCGAGACCTTGCAAAAGGAGGCGTTGGCCCAACGAGGGGCAATTAAAGGACACACCCCATCATTTGAAAGTCGGCCTTGCAAAGTCGGTTTGCGGGCAAACTTAATGAATATTTCAATTGTTCCGAGTATGCGAAAGAAACGTGAGCGGAATCGAATTCGGTTAACTCGGGAGATATACGTCCTAATGAGGCGAACGTGGAACACAAAAGAAGAAAGACGCTGATGCATATTTTGACGAGCACGGCGACTTCCGAAAACCGGTATATGTTTTGTGGGACGCCAGTGGATGCAGCCGCCTTCCGCGACCTATGAATTTCAAAGGCATCGACAATTGCTTGTTTGTTCACAGACGTCGTTTACTCCACGCTTGTATTTTGCAATTCTGAATAGAAACCTTAGACGTTATTACAAATACGCTGTTTTTGAGTTTATTTCCATTTTTCTTTCAGAAATCTTGACTGGAATTCTCGGTACCGTGCTAGGAAATGGAGACCTGTTAGGTGGACTTCTGCCGTTTTAATAATCCTGCCTAATTGTCTAAGGTTAGTTTTCTCAGTATTTATTTTTCCTCAGACGCAGACTAGATCCAGTAAATTTTAGAGATTTTCGCTTGATCTTTGTGAATGCCCATAAAAGTAGGACATGCCATTTAATCGCCGCCAAACGAAAGTCCAAAGAAAACATAAACAACGAAAAACATGCTACTCTATATTCATTTGTCTGTGGTAATTGAAAAACATCGTACTTAATTACTCTTATTTTTTGGAAGTTATATTTTATGCTTATGTCTTTGCTTTCTAACGATGCAAAAAGTCGTTTTTATGCCATGAATTTTAGGTTGCAAACAAGTCAGTTGTCACGTGCGCGTGTTCACGCTTTGGGAAATAGTTAACTTTGAATCCAGTTATTATGTTCTCTGATCCTTAGCGGAAAAATACAGCCTATTAAATTAATCTCCGACAAACACCAAATCTGTCATTTCAATAAAAAAATAAGGACACCGGTTTATATCGATATGTTGACTATAAATACTCCTCGATAACACGATGTGCTTTCGATTAAGCTTTTGTTGTTTTCATGTTTATCATTAAACACCCTAAAGCAATGTAACCCCAAAACATGTGTTCTGTTTTTCTATTCAATTCTTTGAAAACCTCAATAGTGTGTATTGGCCTGTTCGCGCCAGGACAGGTAACTGCGCTGAAGCTTGTACAGTTCCTGTTTCGTTGTTTTATAGTCGTATTATGAAGGCACTCCCACACTCACAAAAGCTTTTATGAGGCGGGCTTGACTTCTATAGTTTTCTCTTTTCGAGTCCCTCGCTTTGTAGCTTATGGACAGGATAAACCGAGACGAACATTTGTGTTCAAATATTCCTTATCATGTGATAGATTGTAATTCATACTTGAGGGAACCAGGAACAAGGTGGAAGTACACATGTATATTATTATTTAGGCGATGCCATGACTTTTTTGCTTGTTCTTTTATTTCTTTAAACCTGGAATACCTGATTATCCAGTCATACTCAATGTACGTTTATGAAGTGAGGAGTAAAAGAGTAAAAACATCAACTATTATGTTGTGGTTTTTTTAACTTCACATGTGTGTATAGTTACCGATATCATGAGAATAACAGGGCGTGGTGAGCCTAGAGCAGCTTATGATCATTCAACAGTATATGGCATTGTAGCACCAACCTATAAGAATGTAGATTATTTATTTATTTACAGAAACAACCTGCAGCGCCGAAACATTACAGCAAGGAAACACAAAATAAACACATAATCACGAACATAAATACATTGTCAAAAAAACAATAAATATTGCTAAATAAAACGCAAACTCTTGAATATTAAAATTTAGGATACTGGAAAAAAAATCCTACCTCATTAGCAGTGAATGCTGATGCAAGCAGTAAATTCCAATCCGTTATTACACGAGGAAAAAATAAGTATTCTTTATAATCAGCTCGGCAAAATATTTCTTTAACCCTATTACAACGATCTATTCGGGTTGAAAAATAGTTTGGTGATTCAAGATATTGATATTTATCAATTCTAGTTAAGTTAGTAAAAACAGAAAATAAAAACTTTAGACGAAATTTCTTTCGCCTTAAGTTCCCAACCAATCTCACGTTTAATTTTTGTCACACTGGATGTTCTATTGTACGTTCCCGATACAAACCTTGCAGCACGTTTTGACTTTGTTCCATTTTAGAGGCAAGGTACGCTTGGTGCCGGTCTCACAGAACACACGCATATTCAAGCGTCGGGCTTACCAAGATGCAGTAAGCAGTTTCTTTCAGGTCCTTGGGAGCACTGCGTAGATTTTATTTAATAAAATTTAGAATTCTGCCAGACCTTTTTTTACAGATTGTGTTACGTGAGCATTAAAGGAAAGATCGCTTGATAAAATGACTCCAAGATACTTCACATGCATGTTTCTGTGTAAATGTCGATAATTAATGGAATAACACCATAAGATGCTGTCGCGTTTTTTTTTTCGAAATTAACGATGACACACCTGTCAGCATTAAAACTTAATTAATTCTCGTGTCCGACACCAACTGGATATTTTATCTAAATCAGATTGTAAGAGAGCAGAATTACGTAAATATTCTACTCTGCGATATAAAACACAACCATGAAAGAATCTCGAAGCTAGAAAGGTAAACGAAAGAGTTGTATCGTCTGTTTGCGTCCCGAATTTGTGTTTATTCTTTCCGGTGTTTAAATAAGTCACACACTGAGTTTCTTAAAAAAACACTAACGCCCCCGAATTTTTTTTTTTTTTTTTTTTTTTTTTTGCTTCTTTACAGCAAAGTTATGTGCTACGATTTGGAAAAAAATGCGTCCATGTATGTCAACGAGGTAGAGGGGCTTAGAGCGATAAACCGGGGTTCCGGTCTGCACTCGAAAGTGACCCCCATAAGGAGGCTGCCATTGTACGCAAATTTGACCACACGTCACATGACCAAACCAAATACGTGACGTCACAGGAAAGATGGCAGCGCCCATGCAGCGGCTGGCCCCAGCTGGGCCGGAGCTTGTCGGATGCTTTGTTGGTTGTCGTTCGTCTCGGCGAGTTGATTTCAGACGCGGAAGCCGTCATATGAGGCCGGTCGAAAGCGAGTTCCGAGTTCAGCGTGGTGTTTGACGTAGGTATAACGTGAAAATACGGAGAAACGGTGTGCATTTTGCTGGTGACCGACCGGGATATTGCCACGGAAGAGACAATCTGACCTACGTTGCTCGGACCTCGGATTGATTCGGATACCGCTAGGATAAAATTTAAGGCGACGTTTCTGTGCTCTTGTTGACCATCGGAATCTTCGAGGTTTGCAGCGAAGCGTGTGCAATATATTTGGATACACAGTTCAGCGACGGAAATTGCGTGAGTCGTGCTTGGCGGTGTGCAATCGCGGTGCAGTTTCGATCAAATGACCGAGGGCTCCCTTCGGTTGCGCGGCGCACCGGAAGGCTGCCTTGAAACTGGTAGTTCCCGTGCCGTGCTGAATGATGCTGTGCTGCTCACAAATTGTTCCGGCGTAGAAGTGCTCTTTCACGGAGCACAGGTGTGCGGCGCACCGAAGAGCTGCCTTCAAGCTGGTAGTTCCTGTGCCATGCTTTAGGTGATGCTGTGCTGCTTCCGAAATTGTTCCGGCGTAGACGTGCACTTTTACGGAGCACAGGTGTTGCAGTTGGTATTGATCCCGCTGGTCTGTCGCACGTTTCGTCAACACAAACGTTTCATCCACACTCGTTACGCGAATCGCAAGCTGTCCGGACATTTCACCGAGCGTGTTACGTACCCAGCTCACGCCGCTTTGTGGCAACAGTCTGCAGTGGCTCATTACCAGAAAAGTGGTCCCACATCCATTTCAGTTCAGTTCGTCCACGGCAGTCGCCAAACCCCGAAGGAGAGGATTTATTTGGACACAATGCCACTAAAGCAATGCAGCTTCTTTAGTGGTCAGGATAGATTCTCTTCTGCTAGTTTTGTTATACTGTCACGGATCCTTGTTCCAGTCCTATCTTCTATCAATATTCACTATTCTGGGACACTGCAGGTCATGCTCAGCTGTAATCGTATGTTCAGGTGGAGGTGCTGGGCACTTTACCCGTAGCCGTTCACTCTTTGTGAACCCGGGGGCTCTTCAGCCGAGTTACTCGATAATGGGACACGGCTGGCGGACTATTCTGCGTCTTATACCCCTGTCGAGCCGTAGGCAAAGTCCTGACCCGAGCCTGGCAGAACAACCGCAAGACGACCGAGTACCACAAGGAGTAACCTCGGAAATACACCACGAAGCACCTGAAATCCGAGCCAGTTGCTGCTACCAGGAAAAACCACCGGAATTCGGTCTCCTGTCAGAAAATCCGAAGCTGACTAAGCCAACAATGACAAACCTGTAGCAGCAAACCGTGTCCCCTCCCACCATTGTTTGCATGCCCGTCGCAAATCACGCTCCGACGCTTTTTCACGCAAGCTGTATGAAGACGTCAAGGAGTGGGATTGAACAATATGACAGTGTCGCCCGCCACATTGGGTGGACAGACAACCAGCTCCTGCAGAACCTATACTTCTCGTGGAAGCAACCGCCGGCGCTGGTCTGAGAACCATGGATCCTCCTTAACGTCATGGGAAGTTTGCAAGATCAAGCTGAAGCGCGCATCCGTCAGCCAACATCAACGAAAGAGAGCCGCATTCTTGATTCTGTCCAGGGCACTGCCCCAATGAGAGCGCCACCGCACCCGTGGAGGATGTTTTGCGTTTGATCGAGCGCCCACGCCCACGCCCACGCCGACCTTGATGCTACAGAAAACAAGAACCTAAGAATTCCATGCGCCTCACGTGAGGGACACCACTTCGGCAGCCTTGTCCGCAACCCCCCAACAACAGTCGAAGTGTTCATATCACCGAGGCTTCCAACATGGAATGTGCACTGCATGCCCGAGCCTGCCACTATGAACAACTTCCCGGCGTCTCGACACTCGAGTTGTCCAGCTACTACTTCGACGCCAGCCTCCCAGGCATCCACGACATCACCCACGACGCTGTCTGGGAGGAGATCAGGAAGCTACTTCCTGCCATCAGTTGCCCGGCTTTTATTTTGATTGCCGAGATTGTTTCGGAACAAGTTTGACAGGTATTTCAACCGAGACTTCTGCGAGCGAAGCGGCATCTGACAAACCAAGGGCAACTTACGCCACAATGGCACGACGACCACCACCGGCGGCCCCTTAGTATTCAATGCCAATTCAATGAGACACTCTAACGCCGAAGCATTCCCGACATCGTGTGTAGGACTGTGCTCAACAAAGTACACCGAGGAAAACGTAGGTGATGCGAATGTGCGACCGAAAACCACTTTGCTACCACTGCATGAAGCCGACCATGTCTACCAAAGCAGCCCGTACCAATGAATTGGCCGGCGAGGGTTCGTGCCAAACGACCCTCGATTACATCTTGAGGAGCGACCACGGGAGATTAAGGATTACCTTCGGCGACCTTTGTCCCTGATGCTGAAGGTGCTGAATCGAAGATTCTGAATCCCTGCCCAGGTAGCACGCCAGAGGAATGCCCAACTTGGGCAAAGGTCTGGCAAACATAAGGGCCCAACTTTGGCGCAGTTCGGTTTTTGCACCATGGCATTCATCAGTGCCAAAGTACGGTGCCTAACTATAGCCTAAGTTGGGCGATCCTATGGCATGCCAAAGTTTGGCTCTTCTCCGGTACGCCAGAGGAGTGCCAAAGTTGGTGCCATACTTGAGCCATAACTGCCATAGTAAATCCTAATCTGGGAATTCGGGGCATGCCAAGGTTTGGCATTTCTCTGGTCTGCCAGAGGAGCGCCAAAGTTGGTGCCATACTTCAGCCATAACTGCCAGAGCAACGCCTAATTTCGGTATTTGGGACGTGCCAAGGTTTGGCGTTTCTCTGGTCCGCCAGAGGAGCGCCAAAGTTGGTGCCATACTTCAGCCATAGCTGCCAGAGCAACGCCTAATTTCGGTATTTGGGACGTGCCAAAGTTTGGCTTTTCTCGGGTCCGCCACAGGATTGCCGAAGTAGTGCAATACTAGAGCTATAACTGCCACAGCAATGCCCAATTTGGGTATTTTGGACATGCCAAAGTTTGGCGTTGCTCTGGTCCGCCAGAGGAGCGCTAAAGTTGGTGCCAGATTTGAGCCATAACTGCCATAATAAAACCTAAACTGGGAATTCGGGGCATGCCAAGGTTTGGCGCTTCTCTGGTCCGCCAGAGGAGCGCCAAAGTTGGTGCCATACTTCAGCCATAACTGCCAGAGCAACGCCTAATTTCGGTATTTGGGACGTGCCAAGGTTTGGCGTTTCTCTGGTCCGCCAGAGGAGCGCCAAAGTTGGTGCCATACTTCAGCCATAGCTGCCAGAGCAACGCCTCATTTCGGTATTTGGGACGTGCTAAGGTTTGGCGTTTCTCTGGTCCACCAGAGGAGCGCCAAAGTTGATGCAATAATTCAGCCATAACTGCCAGAGCAACGCCTAATTTGGGTATTTCGGACACGCCAAAATTTGGCGTTTCTCTGATACGCCACAGGAGTGCCGAAGTGTGCCATACTTGAGCCATAACTACCAAAGCAACGCCTAATTTCGGTATTTCAGCCTCGCCGAGTTTGGCTTTTCTCTGGTCCGCCACAGTTGTGCCAAAGTAAGTGCCAGACTTGAGCCATAACTGCCGCAGTAAATGTTAATTTGTCGATTCGGGGCATGCCGAAGTTTGGCTCTTTTCTGGCTACCCACTGAAGTGCCAAATAAGTGCCAAAAGTGGCAAAGAAAGCCGAGAGGCCAGCCCAAGTTTCAAATATCTCTGGTGTGTCACAGAAGTGCTCTTTTACGCGTCCCAGGAGAGAAATAAAATAAATAAGCGTTGGAAGCACGATAGTAAGATGTCATCACCTCCGTTCCCAAGCAGCACGGCAATACTTTGCAGTATCGTGCCAGTGCGGGCCGAACGTCGGTTACAATATCGCTCAACTGTCCAGTTTTGCACCACCGTTTGATACCCGGCAGGTATTGCCGTACAGCTGTTTCGGCCCGGCCTAGCGTTCGCGT